GGGCGGAGGACACGGCCCGGCCTTGCCCCTCGTTCCCGAGGAGGGAGCGAAGCCCCTTAGTGGTGGCGCGGGCAGCGTGCCCCGGCTGTAGCCTGGGCCTGGGGCGCGTGCCCGCGCGGCGGGGCCGCCTGTCCTGGCAGGTGCCGGGCCAGCGTGGCACGTCCCCCGCCCCCACCCCGTCCTCGGGGCTGGGACCCTGTCCCCCGGCCTTGGGCCGCGAGGCCACCGTTGGGAGTGCCGGGCCTCGGGGCGGCCCCGTAAGTGGGGCTTTGTGCGTCCCCCTGCTCGGCGGGCGGTTGGAGGGACCCCCTGTAATCAGGCGGGTGTCCCGCGGGGTCCCCGGCCTTTCACAGGCGTGGGGCTGGGCGTGTGCCCTCCCTGTCCCCCGGGGCTCAGCTGGAGGCCTTAGGCCGTGAGAGCTCCGCTGCCTGGCAGTGGAGTCTCCTTGCCCCTTGCTGCGGGGAAGGCCGAGCTCCGTGGCTCCCTGGGTGTGGACCCGCCCGTAGCGGGGTCTGGGTCTGGGAGCCTTTGTGCTCCCTCAACTGGCAGCCTGTGCGGGCGACCGCCCGTTAGCGGGAGCGGGTCGGGTGCCCCGAGCGGAGAGAAGGAGCCTCCGCGGGCCTTTGGGCCCAGGGCCCCCTGTAAGTCGGGAGTAAGCGCCCTGGAGTCCCGGGCACTTTGCGGTCCAGGCAGCGGCTCCAGCCCCCTGTAAGCAGGGCGGCAGCCTCCCTGACCGCTGCTTTGCACGCCCAGCTGCCTTTGCCCAGAGGGCCCGGCTCCCAGCAGCGGATGGGACCTCGCCGCGCGTCGCCGTGGTGAGTCAAAGTGCCGTTTGGAGGGTTTTGGGGGCTGGAGGGAGGGGGGCGGGCGGGGTGGCCTGTGGGGGGGGAGCGGCTGGTGGCTTGGGGATGTGCCTCTGGGGCTGCGTGCCGGGGCCCGGTTTCCCTGACGGGGAGGAGCTGGGGACTGTGGGGCCCAAGTGCGTCCTCCTGCCTCGGCGGAAGCCGTGGGAGAAGAGAGCGAGAGGCATCGATGGCGTGGGACGGCGGCGGCGCCGCCGCCGTGGGAAGCCGGTGAGGGGAGGCAAGCTGAACTTGGGGGGTCGTGCGGAGATGTGGGGGTCCCGCGGGTGGGCAGGTGGCGGCTTGGACAGCTGCCTCTGGGTCCTAGTTTCCTTTCCTTGGGCGCAAGGAGTTGGAGCTCCTCGGTCCCGACTGTGTCCTCCTGCCTCGTCAGGAGCCGTCGGAGAAGACAGCGGAGACACCGGCGCGGGCAAGAAGAGCGGCGGCTTGGAGCTGAAGAGGGGGCGCGAGAAGGGCCCTCTGGGCAAAGGGACCCCCCCGGCATCCCCGGGGCAGGGATACCTAGGAGTCCGGTGGGCACCTTCGGGCTGCCCCGGCCGGCTTAGCGCTGGGCGCCCTCCCTGTAAGCAGGGCTGGGTCTTTGCGGTGCTTGGCGGCGGCCTTTTGCCGTCGTCGCGCTCCTGAGGCTGCCCGGAGAGAGGCTGAAGCACCCTGTAAGGAGGGTGAGAGCCCCCGTCTCCGCACCCGCGGGGGGGAAACGGAGCTCTCCCGACCCCCAGCCCACCCTGTAAGCAGGGCAGGGCTTTTCCCCTTGGCACCTCGGTGCCTGCTGGCGGCCCCTGGCCAGAGTGAGGCCCCTGTAGTCGGGGTGCGTCACAGCCTCTGCGCCTGGGCCAGCCGCGAAGCCCCTCAGCGCCTCGAGGCCCTTCTGGCCCGTGCGCAGCCCGGGGGCGGGTCTGAGGCCCTCCTCTCCTGCTCGACGGCAGACAGGGCTGGCTCCCCACGCGTTGGCGCGCAGAGCTCGCTCCCCCTTCTGGGACGTTCCCTCCCCCCTTGTGTCTTTGTCGGTGTGAGTGAGCGAGCGAGCTTGTCCTTTAGCCCCCGTAGAAAGCAGAGAGCAGCGTAGCTTAGACTTCCCAGGAGGGAAAGAGGGGCTCTGCGCAGCAACCGGGGGCTGCCCTCTAAAGCCGCGGGCGGAGACACGGCCCGGCCTTGCCCCTCGTTCCCGAGGAGGGAGCGAAGCCCCTTCCTTAGTGGTGGCGCGGGCAGCGTGCCCCGGCCGTAGCCGGGGCCTGGGGCGCGCGCCCGCGCGGCGGGGCCGCCTGTCCCGGCAGGTGCCGGGCCAGCGTGGCACGTCCCCCCCACCCCGTCCTCGGGGCTGGGGCCCTTTTCCCACCGGCCTTGGGCCGCGAGGCCACCCTTTGGGAGTGCCGGGCCTCGGGGGGGGCGGCCCCGTAAGTGGGGTTTTGTGCGTCCCCCCCTGCTCGGCGGGCGGTTGGAGGGACCCCCCTGTAATCAGGCGGGTGTCCCGCGGGGTCCCCGGCCTTTCACAGGCGTGGGGCTGGGCGTGTGCCCTCCCTGTCCCCCGGGGCTCAGCTGGAGGCCTTAGGCCGTGAGAGCTCCGCTGCCTGGCAGTGGAGTCTCCTTGCCCGTTGCTGCGGGGGAAGGCCGAGCTCCGTGGCTCCCTGGGTGTGGACCCGCCCGTAGCGGGGTCTGGGTCTGGGAGCCTTTGTGCTCCCTCAGCTGGCAGCCTGTGCGGGCGACCGCCCCGTTAGCGGGAGCGGGTCGGGTGCCCCGAGCGGAGAGAAGGAGCCTCCGCGGGCCTTTGGGCCCAGGGCCCCCTGTAAGTCGGGGAGGAAGCGCCCTGGAGTCCCGGGCACTTTGCGGTCCAGGCAGCGGCTCCAGCCCCCTGTAAGCAGGGCGGCAGCCTCCCTGACCGCTGCTTTGCACGCCCAGCTGCCTTTGCCCAGAGGGCCCGGCTCCCAGCAGCGGATGGGACCTCGCCGCGCGTCGCTGTGGTGAGTCAAAGTGCCGTTTGGAGGGTTTTGGGGGCTGGAGGGAGGGGGGCGGGCGGGGTGGCCTGTGGGGAGCGGCTGGTGGCTTGGGGATGTGCCTCTGGGGCTGCATGCCGGGGCCCGGTTTCCCTGACGGGGAGGAGCTGGGGACTGTGGGGCCCAAGTGCGTCCTCCTGCCTCGGCGGAAGCCGTGGGAGAAGAGAGCAAGAGGCATCGATCGCGTGGGACGGCAGGGCCGCCGTGGGAAGCTGCTGAGGGGAGGCCAGCTGAACTTGGGGGGTCGTGCGGAGATGTGGGGGTCCCGTGGGTGGGCAGGTGGTGGCTTGGACAGCTCCCTCTGGGTCCTAGTTTCCTTTCCCTCAGTGGAAGGAGTTGGAGCTTCTCAGTGCCAACTGCGTGCTCCTGCCTCTTCAGGAGCCGTCGGAGAAGAAAGCAGAGGCACGGAGTGGGACGGCGAGGCAAGAGTGGGCAAGAAGAGCAGTGGCTTGGAGCTGAAGAGGGGGCGCGAGAAAGGCCCTCTGGGCAAAGGGACCTCCCTGGCATCCCCGGGGCAGGGATACCTGAGTCCGGTGGGCACCTTGAGGCTGCCCCGGCCGGCTTAGCGCTGGGCGCCCTCCCTGTAAGCAGGGCTGGGTCTTTGCCGTCGTGCTCCTGAGGCTGCCCGGAGAGAGGCTGAAGCACCCTGTAAGGAGGGTGAGAGCCCCCATCTCCGCACCCGAGGGGGGAAACGGAGCTCTCCCGACCCCCAGCCCACCCTGTAAGCAGGGCAGGGCTTTTTCCCTTGGCACCTCGGTGCCTGCTGGCGGCCCCTGGCCAGAGTGAGGCCCCTGTAGTCGGGGTGCGTCACAGCCTCTGTGCCTTGGCCAGCCGCAAAGCCCCTCATCGTGTCGAGGCCCTTCTGGCCTGGGCGGAGACACGGCCCGTCCTTGCCCCTCGTTCCCGAGGAGGGAGCGAAGCCCCTTAGTGGTGGCGCGGGCACCGTGACCCGGCTGTAGCCAGCGCCTGGGGTGTGTGCCTGCGCTGCGGGGCTGCCTGTCCTGCTGGTGACGGGCCAGCGTGGCACGTCCCCCCCGCCCCCCACCCCGTCCTCGGGGCTGGGGCCCTGTCCCCCCGGCCTTGGGCCGTGAGGCCACCGTTGGGAGTGCCGGGCCTCGGGGGGGCGGCCCCGTAAGTGGGGCTTTGTGCGTCCCCCCTGCTCGGCGGGCGGTTGGAGGGACCCCCCTGTAATCAGGCGGGTGTCCCGCGGGGTCCCCGGCCTTTCACAGGCGTGGGGCTGGGCGTGTGCCCTCCCTGTCCCCGGGGCCCACCTCGAGGCCTTAGGCCATGAGCTCCACTGCCTGGCAGTTGACCTTGCCGTTGCTGCGGGGGAAGGCCGAGCTCCGTGGCTCCCTGGGTGTGGACCCTCCCGTAAGCGGGGTCTGGGTCTGGGAGCCTTTGTGCTCCCTTAGCTGGCAGCCTGTGCGGGGCGACCGCCCCGTTAGCGGGGAGAGGGTCGAGTGCCCCCGAAGCGGAGAGAAGGAGCCTCCGTGGGCCTTTGGGCCCAGGGCCCCCCTGTAAGTCGGGGAGTAAGTGCCCTGGAGTCCCGGGCACTTTGCGGTCCAGGCGGCGGCTCGAGCCCCCTGTAAGCAGGGCGGCAGCCTCCCTGACCGCTGCTTTGCATGCCCAGCTGCCTTTGCCCAGAGGGCCCGGCTCCCAGCAGCGGATGGGACCGCGCCGTGCATCGCTGTGGTGAGACAAAGTGCCGTTTGGAGGGTTTTGGGGGCTAGGGGGGTGGGGGCGGGCGGGGTGGCCTGTGAGGGGGCAGCTGGTGGCTTGGGGATGTGCCTGTGGGGGTGCATGCCGGGGCCCGGTTTCCCTCACGGAAAGGAGCTGGTGATTGTGGGGCTCAGCTGCGTCCTCCTGCCTTGGGGGAAGGTGTCGGAGAAGAGAGCAAGAGGCATCGATCGCGTGGGACGGCGGGGCCGCCGTGGGAAGCTGCTGAGGGGAGGCCAGCTGAACTTGGGGGGTCGTGCGGAGATGTGGGGGTCCCGTGGGTGGGCAGGTGGTGGCTTGGACAGCTCCCTCTGGGTCCTAGTTTCCTTTCCCTCAGTGGAAGGAGTTGGAGCTTCTCAGTGCCAGCTGCGTGCTCCTGCCTCTTCAGGAGCCGTCGGAGAAGAAAGCAGAGGCACGGAGTGGGACGGCGAGGCAAGAGTGGGCAAGAAGAGCAGTGGCTTGGAGCTGAAGAGGGGGCGCGAGAAAGGCCCTCTGGGCAAAGGGACCTCCCTGGCATCCCCGGGGCAGGGATACCTGAGTCCGGTGGGCACCTTGAGGCTGCCCCGGCCGGCTTAGCGCTGGGCGCCCTCCCTGTAAGCAGGGCTGGGTCTTTGCCGTCGTGCTCCTGAGGCTGCCCGGAGAGAGGCTGAAGCACCCTGTAAGGAGGGTGAGAGCCCCCATCTCCGCACCCGAGGGGGGAAACAGAGCTCTCCCGACCCCCAGCCCACCCTGTAAGCAGGGCAGGGCTTTTTCCCTTGGCACCTCGGTGCCTGCTGGCGGCCCCTGGCCAGAGTGAGGCCCCTGTAGTCGGGGTGCGTCACAGCCCACCCTGTAAGCAGGGCAGGGCTTTTTCCCTTGGCACCTCGGTGCCTGCTGGCGGCCCCTGGCCAGAGTGAGGCCCCTGTAGTCGGGGTGCGTCACAGCCTCTGTGCCTTGGCAAGCCGCAAAGCCCCTCATCGTGTCGAGGCCCTTCTGGCCTGGGCGGAGACACGGCCCGTCCTTGCCCCTCGTTCCCGAGGAGGGAGCGAAGCCCCTTAGTGGTGGCGCGGGCACCGTGACCCGGCTGTAGCCAGCGCCTGGGGTGTGTGCCTGCGCTGCGGGGCTGCCTGTCCTGCTGGTGACGGGCCAGCGTGGCACGTCCCCCCCGCCCCCCACCCCGTCCTCGGGGCTGGGGCCCTGTCCCCCCGGCCTTGGGCCGTGAGGCCACCGTTGGGAGTGCCGGGCCTCGGGGGGGCGGCCCCGTAAGTGGGGCTTTGTGCGTCCCCCTGCTCGGCGGGCGGTTGGAGGGACCCCCTGTAATCAGGCGGGTGTCCCGCGGGGTCCCCGGCCTTTCACAGGCGTGGGGCTGGGCGTGTGCCCTCCCTGTCCCCGGGGCCCACCTCGAGGCCTTAGGCCATGAGCTCCACTGCCTGGCAGTTGACCTTGCCGTTGCTGCGGGGGAAGGCCGAGCTCCGTGGCTCCCTGGGTGTGGACCCTCCCGTGAGCGGGGTCTGGGTCTGGGAGCCTTTGTGCTCCCTTAGCTGGCAGCCTGTGCGGGCGACCGCCCGTTAGCGGGAGAGGGTCGAGTGCCCCGAGCGGAGAGAAGGAGCCTCCGTGGGCCTTTGGGCACAGGGCCCCCCTGTAAGTCGGGGAGTTAAGTGCCCTGGAGTCCCGGGCACTTTGCGGTCCAGGCAGCGGCTCGAGCCCCCTGTAAGCAGGGCGGCAGCCTCCCTGACCGCTGCTTTGCATGCCCAGCTGCCTTTGCCCAGAGGGCCCGGCTCCCAGCAGCGGATGGGACCGCGCCGTGCGTCGCCGTGGTGAGACAAAGTGCCGTTTGGAGGGTTTTGGGGGCTAGGGGGTGGGGGCGGGCGGGGTGGCCTGTGAGGGGGCGACTGGTGGCTTGGGGATGTGCCTGTGGGGGTGCATGCCGGGGCCCGGTTTCCCTCACGGAGAGGAGCTGGTGATTGTGGGGCTCAGCTGCGTCCTCCTGCCTTGGGGGAAGGTGTCGGAGAAGAGAGCAAGAGGCATCGATCGCGTGGGACGGCGGGGCCGCCGTGGGAAGCTGCTGAGGGGAGGCCAGCTGAACTTGGGGGTCGTGCGGAGATGTGGGGGTCCCGTGGGTGGGCAGGTGGTGGCTTGGACAGCTCCCTCTGGGTCCTAGTTTCCTTTCCCTCAGTGGAAGGAGTTGGAGCTTCTCAGTGCCAACTGCGTGCTCCTGCCTCTTCAGGAGCCGTCGGAGAAGAAAGCAGAGGCACGGAGTGGGACGGCGAGGCAAGAGTGGGCAAGAAGAGCAGTGGCTTGGAGCTGAAGAGGGGGCGCGAGAAAGGCCCTCTGGGCAAAGGGACCTCCCTGGCATCCCGGGGCAGGGATACCTGAGTCCGGTGGGCACCTTCAGGCTGCCCCGGCCGGCTTAGCGCTGGGCGCCCTCCCTGTAAGCAGGGCTGGGTCTTTGCCGTCGTGCTCCTGAGGCTGCCCGGAGAGAGGCTGAAGCACCCTGTAAGGAGGGTGAGAGCCCCCATCTCCGCACCCGAGGGGGGAAACGGAGCTCTCCCGACCCCCAGCCCACCCTGTAAGCAGGGCAGGGCTTTTTCCCTTGGCACCTCGGTGCCTGCTGGCGGCCCCTGGCCAGAGTGAGGCCCCTGTAGTCGGGGTGCGTCACAGCCCACCCTGTAAGCAGGGCAGGGCTTTTTCCCTTGGCACCTCGGTGCCTGCTGGCGGCCCCTGGCCAGAGTGAGGCCCCTGTAGTCGGGGTGCGTCACAGCCTCTGTGCCTTGGCCAGCCGCAAAGCCCCTCATCGTGTCG